TTCTTCTTCTTCTTCACCTTCTTCTTCACTCATTTCTTCTTCTTCATTTTGATTTGTTTGTTGTGAGTTATTGTTCTTTCTAACAGGACGAGGAATTACAGTGAACTTAATTGGATATGCCCATTCGCAATGAAGATATGAGTCACAAATAATATGTAATAATACAACATATGACCCTTCTTCTTTAGGAGAAGGAAGATAAATTTTTGTGATAAATGGCAATTCAGAAATAGGAATATACCCATGTGTAGCATTAAGAACAAATTGATTTCTTACATCAGTAATAATAAACCACCAACGCTCTAATCTGGTATTAGGACAATATGGATTATGAACATAAACATCTTTTGGTGGTTCATGAACAATTTCCACGTCTGGAATTTCTGGATCAATTTCATCTTCTTCTTTATCAAAATCTTCTTTAGTACTTTTAAGAAGTTCTTCAGCATCATCTGGTTCATCTGGTAATTCTTCTTTTTCTCTATTAAGAATATCATCTAATTTACTCTTCCATTGTGGGACAATTTCACCATTTTCGTTTCTAGGATAACGATATCCATTAATAGTAACAAGAATAGGCACTCCTGCAATTACTTTTCTTGTTCCAGTAATGCTCATTGCTCTAACAATAAATGTGATATTAGTAGGATAATAATTAAAGAAGTTAATAATTTGTTTTCTTCTTTCATTAACTAATTGATTATCATTAGGCTTAATATTTTCTTCAATACTATTTTCATGTTTCTCAGTACTTTCTTTTATCTCTTTTGTTTTATGTTCGTCAGTATCTTTAGTATTAAATTTTGGTTTTTTTCCTTCTTTAATGGCTTTTTCATCTAATGCTCTTTTAACTTTTTCTTTCATACTTTCTATATTTCTTTTCTTAACTTCACTTCGTTGTTTTTTTGGTTCAATAACCTTATGTTGTTTTTCTACCTCAATACAATCAATCTTTTCATTAATTAAATTCATTCGCTCTTCTGGAGTCATCTTTGTGATACGTTCAAATGTCATATTCTTTCCAAAGACTTTTCCACTTTCATTAAAGTCTGGTAACTGTAAGAAATCATCATTCTCTCCACATGCTTGAGTAATCATAGCATTTAATCTAATACATTGCCAAATTCCATTTAGATTTTTCTTTCCCATCATTACAGATACCATTCCATGAAGTACAGTTGGAATAACTTCAAGTATAGAATCTAAGTCATCTCTAAGATAACTTGGAAGCTCTTCATGTAATCTAGACAAATGTGCTCCAATTAATATTTGTGCTTTAACAGCTTCAGGAACATTATAAGTTGGTTTCTTTATAAATTCTTCTTTTATTTTCTTTTGAATAACTGGTAAAAAGTTTTTATCATTTGGACGAATAACAACAACTTCTCTTACTTCATTTGCCAATGATACAACTTCAATCATTGAAGGGAAATTCAAATTAGAATTGATTAATTGCATAAATATAGCATTAGTTTCAATTGTTAAATTATTATTATCTTTCTTATTGCATTTTTTAACCATTAACCATACACTTACAGGAAAAACAATTACTATGATAACTATATAAAACCCTAATATAAGTTTTCTATTCTTCTCTAAAGTAAGAAAGATTGGAAGTCCTATTCCTTTTGTTTCTATTTTATCATCTGCTTCTCTTCCTGTCTCTTTCCATGCTTTTAGTTTAGATGGATCAGTTAATGTTTCATATGCTTTTGTTACTTGAATAAACATTTCTTCAGCACCTTCTTCTTTATTTTTGTCTGGATGATATTTTAATGATAATTTACGATAAGCACTTCTAATTTCTTTATCAGTTGATGTAGATGAAATACCTAAAATGACATAAGGATCAAAAGTTGGTTGTGGTGCAATAATATTTGATGAATTAATTTTAATTATATTATGAATAAAAACATATGATAAAATACCAATAATGATAAACTATAATATTGTGAGTTATTATAATCCTATGTCTTAATGTATTGAATAACAAACTTGAAAGATTGTTGATGAGGTAATTCTGTGATTTTTTATTATCATTCTTTTTCTTTTCTCTTGACATTTAGAGCATTGACATGGAAAAGTTGTAGGAATAGTTCTTTGTTTACGCAAATAATATAATACCCAAATCAATATAATTAGTCCAATAAACCCTGTTATGAAAATTAAAAACATTTGATCATCGAATTGAAGCTTCTCTTCAACCATATCAAAGAAATAAATATTTTAAAGTTTTATTGTTCTATATTATAATTTGAAATATCATTAAGTTTATTATAATTATCACTCTTTCTTTTCTTCATATCTCTTTTTCAATTATCAATTATAGAATTATTTAACATTAAAATGATAGTTTAAATTGTTGGGTTTATACCAAAATACCTTTACTTAATATTCATTAAAGAATAAAATGATAGTAGAAAGAAAAAACTAGTTTTTAAAGCAAAAACTAATCCTGAATAACAAGAAAAAGATCTTTATTTTGAAAATAATCAAAAAAAAAAATCTAAAAATCTAAAGGATGAATAAAAGTGGATTGGAAAATGGACCAGTCTCAGTCTCAAAAAATCTTGTAATCAATTCAAAACGATTATCTGTTAGTGAAACAACACTTCAATATAATCAAAAGAAACAAGCTCAATCAGTTGGTGATTCTGAAATACCACAAGTATTTACTGACTCTCCAAATAGGTCAGAAAACCCAGGACTAATTAATATTAAAAATAAATTAAATAATATTGATATTGAAGAAGAAGAGCCACCACCTATTAGAAGTCATCAATTATCATATTCTCATTTTCCACCAAAACTAACAACAAATACATTTGATAGTGATGAATTTAATCCAGTGGAAATAATTTGAAAATTCTTTCCTTTTTAAACTAATCATAGAATCATATCTGTTTTGTATTTTATTCAATTGGTTTTGTATAATTTTTACTTTGTTAAGTAAGGAAAGATACAAGTTATTTTAATTTATGTTTTTTTCAATAACATAATTTAAAGAAAGTGTCAAAACAAAAAGATAATACAAAAGAAATTAAACCCTATTTATTCAATAAACTATCAACTACTTGGTTTAATTTGTAAAAACATGACTTCTAATGTCGATGATATGTTTGACTTTCTTCAACCAGAAACTCAAAACAAAGATGAAGCTAAAGAAGAAGAAGAAATTAATGAATATCTAATGAAACGAAGAAAAATTATTGAAGATAAATACAAAGATTTATTACCAAGACCAGAGTCTACACCTATTCTTGAAGCACAATACCAAGGATGTACTCATGAAGTTGCAGTTCCAGATGGACAAGTAGCAACAGAACAAACTTTAAATCCACAATATCCAACAGAACCAGCTAAAACATATCCATTTACATTAGATGATTTTCAAAGACTTTCAGTATCATGTATTGGTCAAAATGAAAGTGTTTTAGTTAGTGCACATACTTCAGCAGGAAAGACTGCAGTTGCAGAATATGCAATTGCTAGTGCATTAAAAAATAATCAAAGAGTAATTTATACATCACCTATTAAAGCATTGTCTAATCAAAAATATAGAGATCTTCAAGAACAATTCACAGATGTTGGATTAATAACTGGAGATATTACTATTAATGAAGAGGCATCATGTCTTGTTATGACAACAGAAATTCTTAGAAATATGTTATATAGAGGGAATGATGTTATGAGAGAAGTAGCATGGGTTATATTTGATGAAGTTCATTATATGAGAGATAAAGAACGAGGAGTTGTTTGGGAAGAATCAATTATTTTATTACCAGATACTGTACATTATGTATTTTTATCTGCAACAATACCAAATGCATTTGAATTTGCAAGTTGGATAGCCAATATTCATAAACAAGCATGTCATGTTGTTTATACAGACTATAGACCAACTCCATTATGTCATTATCTTTTCCCAGCAGGAGGAAATGGAATTTATTTAGTTGTTGATAAAGAATGTAAATTTAGAGAAGAAGGATTTAATAAAGCATTAACTTCACTTGGACTTGATGCAGTTGGAATTAAAACAACATCAAAACAAATGAATAATAAACCTGATGTTATTAAAATTATAACAATGGTTATGAAAAATAATCTTGCACCAGTTATAGTCTTTTCATTTAATAGAAAAGAACTTGAAGTAATGGCAAAAACATGTAATAGAATGGACTTAACTTCAGATGATGAAAAAACTATAATTGCAAAAATCTTTAATAATGCTATTCAATGTTTAAATGCAGAAGATAGGAAATTAGAACAAATAACAGAACTTCTTCCATTATTATTAAAAGGAGTAGGAATGCATCATTCAGGATTATTACCTATAATGAAAGAAACAGTTGAAATATTATTCCAAGAAGGATTAATAAAATGTTTATTTGCAACAGA